ACCTGAAAATGAACCAAAAAGAAAGAATGACCACTTAATTCATTTCTAATCAGTCAAAGTTAAGATTCATTTTGCATTTAGCGGTAAAAATAACGTTGAAAATAACCAAAACAAACTCTACTTTCGTTTTTGATATCAAAACGTCGGAAATAGAATTGATCTGAATCGACAAATGGATTTATTGCAACACCGCATTTTGTTTGGTGCTAAACACCAAACTGTTAACTAAATGAGAACGAAGTGAGTGAAAAAGATAGAATCTCGTGACATTTGTGTTCATGAAATTCACATTCACTTCTATGCGAGAGAAAGCTGCTTATCTCGCTGCATTCGAGAGACACGTTGAGAAGGTAAAACTCATGATGTAGGCTAAAATACACTGTGTCACTGACCCGATACTTGATTATAAGAATTTGGTGTGAAAAAAAAAGAAACCACAAATGGGTCGAGTGCTTTCCAAATCTAGTTGATAATAACGAATTAACGCAATGTGAGAGAGGAGTAAAAACCATTCTTTGGCTCAAAGTGAAGATTCGAAGCGTTCATTCTTTGTTCTGCTTCAAGCGGAAGAGAAGACCTAACTCCAATTCAATGCAAAAAAAAGTTCATAACAACAACATAAACACCGACAACAACCACAATGAATAAACTCATTTGCGAATCAAAGGAAACATCGCGAAAATAATCGTGGATTTCAACGAATTTGTATATTGTCAAACAATTTGATTTATATTGGCGATTCACTTAATACACGATCACAATTACCGCAAAATCTTATTGTGCGTTTCGAGAATAGCAGATTCAATGAAGATTCTTCTTCATTATATCGAATGTTGAATGATGTTTATATGAAAATAGACACAAAATTGCAACGAATTTAATACAAAATCATCAATTATTTAAGCAAACTTGGAATGTGGAATATTTCGAGCTCAAAGTGTTTCTATTCAGCTCGACTAAAGACACTTTGTTTTCGGGAAACGAATAAACTTTCAAAAAGTCAGTCATTTTGCTACAATTCCGTTTAAAATCGATCTTTTAGCTAAAAAGTCAAACTTGCAATGTTCGCATTTCATTATCTGTTTTATATCAGAATTTTTAATACCTTTTGATCGCTAAGTAAAATTCAAATCTTTGCAAATTTTCGATCTTTTTTTAATTCTACAACTTGAAGAAAACTAAATTCATTTGAATTCACGTTCTCTTCTTCTTTGAACAACTCTCACGCTTTCTTCTTTTAACTTCACTTCTGATGTGGATAGTGAGTTCCCACAAATAATCAATTCAAAACTGAGAAAACACGCACGTCACTCAAAGCACCGCACAAAATAGTATACAGCGATCAATGGCAACGAACACCTTCGACTGCAACAGCTGATGTTCAAAATTAGTTTGCGTTTGTTTACACTTCTTTCGTTCGTTTATATACCGCGCCGCTCAGCTGATTGTAGCGATCCATAAACAAACACATGACGATTCATTTCGAATGTATGCTTTGTGTCTGTATTCGTGTGAAAGTTCATACACGCACTGAAAGTATGATACGTTGAACACAAAAGACACTGTGTCTGAATTTTCGGCGTGTCTTCTGTCTTGTATACGTCGAAATGTGATAGTGTGTTTGTATGACGGAACCGATTAATGTCATCGTAAATTCAAATCATTCAATTTTTATTGCATCTGTGCTGCACGGTTCACACTCTCCTTTGCGTACATTAGATAGTATCGCGTTTGGAGTAAGAAACGGAGTATACATATGCATTTTTACTCGATTGAGCTATTAATTCGGTGAAAGAGGAAATTTATAAAATAAAATTGCTGGGAATCCCAACTCAGTTATCCAATATCGAACAGACTTTCTTTTGAGACAGTTTTTTCTGGCGATATTTTAGCTGAGGCTTGATGAAGAGAGGCTCATCATTTTGTTTCTTTAGGAGAATTTTTCTTTTAAGAGAAATTATTTGAGAATTGATGAGATTTTTTCGTCTGTTTTATGCCCTTTGGATTCTTTTTCGAGTTTTTCTCATTTTCTTTTCGATGGAAAACTATATTAAACTTCTTTCATTTTTAAATTCTCTTCAGTTGTTAGGCAGCTCACTCTTATCAACTGATTAAACTCATATCACCATGAAAGAACACACCGTTTTAGAAGCCATTCAAATATAAAACATAGTCTGTTTTTGATCAGTGTTTTCACTTTGCGCCAAAATATATTCGTTCTATGCTCCCAGCCTATTAAAAATGTATTTAATTTTGAATGAAAATTTCGAAAACTTAAAATTTTGAAGCTGAACCTGCACCATTTGGAATGGAAATTAGTCGATCCTTAGCCTATTATCGCACATGTGTTCTTTCAAACGATCAAATTGTTGCCGATTCAAGCAGCTCCAAATTGGTTGTGTAGAACTGTGACAGTATACTTACACTGACACTAACACTGACACTCACACTTGACGAAAATAAGTAGTGAGAAATGTAAACAAAGAAAATGTGTGTTTGCTAGAGCCATTTCAGTGATCTGTTCAAAGGCCTGGTCATAAAGTAAGTTGTGAATATTTTCTGCTGAGTTCAACTCTTTTGTGTTTATAAATTTTGACTCGAATGCTAACTTAAATGTTTCATTTTCATTTTTGTTCCACTTTTGCTAAGAATATCAGTTTTAAAATATAGACTTTGTTTCAAATTGGTTAAATTGTTGGCTCATTAAATAAATTTAAATAAAATAAAAACTTTCATTTTCAGACGTGACACCAAATTGATAAAATTGGTTTAACGTGACACCAAGTTGAAAGTTGATTAATCTCGTGTTAAGTGTTCGGAAGACTTTCAAAAATGCATCCAGAGAATGGTTTAATTTTAATGCTTCTGTTAGTATTCGATAGAACCGTTCATATCGAGAGTGAATCAAAGCACGGTGTTTTTGTGTCGACCGACTTTTGGAGCGTGAATGATAAGCCGGTATTGGCCAATGGTCACATTGGTTTTGTTCCTTATGGCGATTCAATTTACATGAATGGTTTGTACAATGGCCTAAAAGGTGACAGTCATCGTGCACGCATTCCAAATTATGCAAATGTACAATTCGAACCGTGCACCCAACGGTCGGCCAACAACGCAGAGGTGTGTTCATATGCACTCGATATTTACAACGGCCTATTTCGAACTAAAGTTCAGCTGAACGATGGACTTTTCACTGTGGAGAACATACAATACACTCATCGGTATCACGAATCCGCTTTAGTCAATCAGATTCGATTGAAGAGGAATCAAATTTCAACAGGAAATGACAATGGTAAGGGGAAAGATGCGTTTTGAAAACGAAATTTGTCAATTTTCTTTGGAGAAATTTGATTTCATTGCGAAATTTGCCTATTTGTGATTTCTTTGTGAAAAGCTAATTTTTTTGGTGAATTTTTAGTTCCAAATTAAATTTTTCGATTAATTCAGTTTTCTTATAATTTTCAATCAATTAATTTCTCGAAAAATCGGTGGTTTTTTTCAGTTATTCCGTTTTTCATGTAAATTTTTCATTTTTTCTCCTGTTCTTACTTTTTGTCCGTTTTCAGCCAAACTCCAACTGCATCTAATCAAAGAAAATGTATCTGAAAGTGATGATTTATCGATAAAATCATCGAAATCATTGAAAATCTCCAATAAATCTGTAACCATTCTTGTGGCGTCTACAAAAATTTTGGAAGATCCGATATATCAAAGTGATTTATCGCCAGTTTCAATACTTTATGAGGACATTCCCAACACAATTGAACTTCTGACAGAGCAAACTGAAGCGGAATTCATTTGGATAACACTAATTCAGCTGAATTCAAGTGATATTAAGAAAATATTTCTCGAATTGCATGAAAATTCCGTCTTTTTACTAAAAGCTCACACGAATGAATGGCAACAGTTCTGGACGGACAAACATATGTCTGTTACGGGGAATGAAGAGTTATCCAATGCTATCGCTGCAAGTGTTTATGCTCTCGCGTCAGCACTGCCGTCACTTAATACATCACGGCCAAGACAAATATACTATGGAATAAGTCCAGCCGGCTTAGGATTGAATCGAGAGCTGGAGGTTTACAACGGTCATTCATTTTGGGACACCGAAATTTGGATGCATCCAACGATTTTGCTCCTAGAACCAGAGTGGAGCAAAGAATTGCTGAACTATAGGCATTTTTTAAGGGATACAGCTCATGATAACGCAGTTAATACCAGTTATAAGGGATACAGGTACCTCTTGGAACAGACTTTTTTTGTAACTAAAGTTCTTCGTAATAATGAGTATTCATTCGATTTCCAAAGGTTTCCTTGGGAATCAGCCTTCACGGGAATCGATGTGACAAAAACCGACTTCCCTGAAATCGTCGAGTATGAACAGCACATCACCGCCGGCATTGGCCACGCATTGCGAAAGCACTTTTTTACCACGCATGACTTTCAATGGTTTCAATCGATTGGCTGTGATTTAGCTTACGGAACGGCCGCATTCTGGGAGAGTCGTGTATCATGGAATGAAACAACGCAGCGATATGATATCAATAGTGTCATGGGACCGGATGAAGATCATAAGAATGTCAGTAATAACGCATATACTAACGTTGTGGCCGCGTTGAACTTGCATTTTGGATCGTGAGTTTTTTTTTGGGATCGTTTTTATTTTTCGACTTTTCAACTTGAATTTGAATTGAAATTAGTCAAAATGTTACGTCTTTATTGATTCATTCTGATTTTATTCCGTTTATTATCCAGCATAAATGTTCAAATGAATCTGGTTCCAAAGTGTTGAATCATTTCCTTTTCCTTCTAGATTCGCCTCATGTGTCTGCAATCAGCTGAATCCTGTCAAATATCCTCTCAACTCGAATTGGACATCGATTGCTCGACACATAGCATTACTTTACGATCGTCAACTAGATTACCACCCTCAATATGATGGCTATAATTTAAACATATCCATTAAACAAGCCGATGTAGCTTTGCTTGGTTACCCCTTGCAATTTGCCAATATTCGAGCTTCGACGCGTCGAAATAACTTGAATTTCTACACAAATGTAACTCGACCAAACGGACCAGCGATGACATGGTCAATGCACGCAATCGGACACTTGGAAACTGATTCGACTCCGCCAAACGAAGAGATTTTCAATCGCACTTTCGTTCCTTATATTCGATCGCCATATTTTGTGTGGAATGAATACGTGAACGGAGTTCCGAATGGTGCCAGCAATTTTATCACCGGAGCCGGTGGATTTTTGCAATTGATTATGTACGGTTTCGCTGGAATTCGGATCAATTCCGACTCGCTGAGCATTCAACAGCCACAATTGCCACCGAACACAACTAAATTGACACTAAACGGTTTGGTTCACATTTATTTAAATTTTTCAATGAAATCACACATTTTGGGGAATTTTTTTAGAATTTATTAAAATTGAATCCATTGCTCATGGTACTAAAATTTAACTGTCAAAAAAAAATTTGTTAAAAAATCAACGACAAAATTGATAAACTAATTTACCATTTGACTCAAGCTAAATATGAATTTGATTCGAAAAGGGAAAATAATGTTCTTTCCGTGACCTTTACAGGCATTTCGTATATGGGCGCACTGTGCGAGATTCAAATAAATCAGCAGAACATTGGGATCAACATTCGAAAAGGTCGCACTAATTTGCAAGTGTACATTGATGACATTGAACAAGATACGAATTTAAAAAAATGTGAGTTACATTATTTTTGATCACGCTGATATATTCGGAAATTTCAACGTTTTCGATTAATTTTTACGTTCTTTGGAGAATTTGTGAATCTCATAAGTTTTTTTGATCTTTTTCAAGTGTTTAAACTTTTTTTACTTCGATTTTTTTCATTCTTTGTTAATTTTGACATTATATTTCTTCTGCGACTTTCTTCTTTAATTTTGCAGTTGAATTCAAAAAACATCAGACATTGAAGATCAAACCCAAAACCAAATCGTATGTCGAATTTTGTGATCAACCCAATGATACAGTTAAAGAATTAAACATCAATTGAAGGATTCGGACAGATTTTGGACGTGCAATTTTAGCTATTTGCAGAGAAAAAGAATAACAAAAATAAAGATGAATAAAAAAGACGAGTAAAAACAATATTTTTCATGATTATGAATATATTTCAATGAATTTGATGATTACACAATTGGTTCCAATGCATCTATATGAACTGAAGTGTGGTTAAACCACACAATTGTGACATGATTAAACAAGAGCAACGCGAATTTATTTTCTGTTAAGTAAAATTGTTAGGTAAACGAATCCACTGCAGATTCGGTAGTTTAGATGGGAGCGTGCCTAAATGAAATTGATTCAAATGTTCTATCGAAATTTTCCTTAGGTTTTGCATGACTGGCCGAACGACATGACTTTCCACTACGTAGACGTCAAGCATTTCGAGTGCACGTAATGAAACCATTCGATCGATCCATTGTTGACTAACTTTACACACGCAATCGCTCGTAGAAGCCACGATCGTAGAGCTCGTTCAAAATGGTACTGATTGATGTTTCTTCTTCTGTATTGCCCCACAAATCAATGATCAAATTCTTCAGCTTCGTGTTGACACCACGGCCGTAGCCAGAACGAATTTCCCGGGAGAGCGGAGGAAATTTTTGGAAGAGCTCAACAAAAATCAATAAATCATTGTCAAATCAAAATTTGGAGACCTAAAAAAAGCTCATCACTTCTAAAAATCGATTCTGTCTAGTGTAAAACGGTTTGAAATCTCATTCTATCTATGTAGTTTAAATTTAATAATCTACAGCACTATTTAGGTCAGCCTGAATTGCCAAACAACCATCAACTCGTTTTATTTGCATTGAAAAGCGAGTGTCATCGGCAACGCAAAGTGCAAAAATGTAAAAATGCAGAAAATTAAAGGGGGATTTGTCGAAACCGCTCGTTTACATGTGAATTATTTTTGTGTTTCTGGTGAGAGATATGGAGCAAGTGTCTCAGGCAAAGATCTTAGAATGTTCTAAATCATCGATGCATTGCAAAAGACATCCGTCTTCTATCTCTTACTCGAATGGAGGGAATGACTTCTAATGTGAAAGTCATTAGTCAAGGAGCTGTTTAAATGAATTTTTTCGAATTAAAAACGAAACAAACGATTTTTTTCAAATACGTAGGAAAATTTTCAAAAAAGCTTATTTTCAGATCTATGAACATTGGCAAAAGAATTCTTCATTTTCTCATTTTATGCATTTATTTCATTGATATTAGTTATTGTTTCTGATGAATGCATTTCTGTATAAACTAAAGATATTTTGTGAAATGCCACCTCGTTCAAGAAGCGAGATACTGCTTTAATGCAGGTAGACCGTGGTTGTATACGGAAACGAAAAACTAGTGATTTCTTCCTGGACTGTGAACTGCTTAGTCGGAGTACCAAAGATTAAATTCATTCAATTCCAAAGATTCCATTCGTTTAATCTCGATCAAACTGCTTCTCGCTCCGTTCGCAAATTTTATTTCCAGAAATTTTCTTTCAGGCACATAAATTGTTACTTTGCACGCTCCGGCCAATTTTTCGCGTTCCTTATTCAGCGCCGATAGATCGAGAATGTTTTCGTGTGATTCCGAATACAGAATAATTAGTCTCGATAATTTATTTAAGCCACGAATGAAAGGAAGAATCGCTTCCATGGATAGTTCGCACCGTTCTAGAAGAACCCGTTGCAGATTTGGTAGTTTCGATGGGAGTGTGGCTGAATCGAATTGATCCACATTGTGCATAGAAATTTTCTTAATGTTCTGCATGACTGGCCAAACGATACCACTTTCAATTTCGATGATGGAGAGCATTTCGAGTGCACGTAATGATACCATTCGATCAATCCATTGTTGAGTAACTATTACACTTGTACCCATATAAATAAAACGCAATCGTTTGTAAAAGCCACGATCGTAGAGCTCGTTCAAAATGTCCCAGAATGATATTTCATCTACGTTCATTTGCCACAAATTAATTGTCAAATTCTCCAGCTTCATGTTGACACCCAACAATCCTGTTCTGTTGTTCAGAAGAAAGCGCCAGTGTATCCCAATACTGGAAATATTCGGTATTTGATTGAAAAATGCTTCCACATTCACCTGTTCATAGATCTTTAAAAAACGGATGTGCTCGAGCTTTGGACATTTGTTAAGTTTGAACAGCCAGTCAGTGTTGCTCCAACTAAATTCAAGCTGCTTCAAATTTGGACACAAATCAAGAATGTTTTTATCAAGATATTTGCCGAAAAAAAATACGTACTCCACCTTGGCCAGAACATCACTAATCAAATGGAGTCTGCCTGAACTGGCTGGATGCTCAGAATAGAATTCAATTTTTTTTAATGATTTGCAATTTGCTGCAATGTACTTTAGTTTGCTCGTACTGTCATTAGACGAGCTTATATCGATATTTTCGATGCATTCACTGAAACCATTTACTCGAGTGGAACCGAAATAAATGCCATCATGATTACATCGGATATTAGCATTTGGATAATTCCATTGAAAATACATGCCAGCGATTCGATGCATCCGTTTGCATGTTTGACCCATTGAGTGAAGGTCTTTGATCGACAACCACTCGAATAATTCTTCGCAGCAGTCAACATCGAGCTTGAAGATTTCGCACGCATTTTCTTGGGCTGCTGGAACAGCAACAGGCAACTGGTCATCGTTTTGTTTGGCATCGTCATCTGGCATTTGGCTCGTGGCTTCAGTTTTATCTTTTGCACTCATTTTGGATGCGGTTTTTAATAGTTCAAACCAATGAATTACCTAAGCAATGAAATAAGAGAAATATAAAACGGTATCAAAATGTTTTCAATTTTATTTCTTTAATCATAATAATGTAAAAAATGAAATTTTGCTACTTTTAGTTTAGTTTTATCGAAACAAAGCAATGGCGATAACAAATGTGGGGAATTTAGATAAAAATAATTCACCTTCTAAAATGGTAATTAAACTTTGTTCACAGAAAATCTTTTGTTTTAAATAAAAGAAAACAAACTCCTCGGACTGACTACTTGTCGCTCCTTTCGACTTCAGAACACCAATGATGCGTTACTTACTTTTTGTGTCACTGTAAAGTCATTATGCACACTTTCAAAGTCAAGCGTGATTAGTATTCATAGGTATTCGTCAAATGTCATGAGCAAGAAAAATGAAACCATTCAAACCATTCACACTAATGATTTACTTAGAATTCGTTTGAGTAGGAATAAATTGAAACAAGAATGAAAGTATGCATTACCTAAGTTTTTTTCTGAACGTTTTCCGTTCAATGAATTAGGGGCTACAATACGATCGGTACCCCAACATTGATTCATTTGAAATTAATAAACTACAGATCATTTTATCTGATTCCCGCAAATAAATTATATGTTGTCAATAGAGTCATATTTACCATCAGAACAAAAGCATAGGAGCATCGAGTTGGTTCACTCAATCGTCACTTGGACACGCTATTTCAGACAAATCATTCAAATTTAAATGGTTTCTGCGCCAACCATGTCAAATATAACAATGTGAAAGTGATTAGTAGAAGCTGTTGAAATGAATATTTTCGAATCAAAAATAAAACCAAAGATTTGTTGTATATCAAAGGCAAACATTTTTATTTTCGGGACTTCGAAAACTATAGCAAGAGAATTTTACAGTTTCTTATTTTATGCATGTATATTATTACTGTCAAAGTAAAATGTGATGAGTATTTATAAGCACTCAGTCACTGTCATAAGCAAGAAAAATGAAACCATTCAAACCACTCGCACTAATGAGCTACTTAGGATGTTGTTGGAGTAGAATTGAATTGAAACACAAATGAAAGTATATTATTAAGTATATTTCAATTGACTCATGGCATCTGAACAATAATACATAGTTTTTTTTATTTATCAGTTCAAAGTTCATGCAATTTTATTATTCCTCTTACATTGCTTGTTTCTTTTTCAAAGATTCGAAATGGACTTATTCAAGCGATGGACTGATATCAAACTTCCGTTCCAAAAAAATCCGTTGAAATCGATAATGATCGACGATAGACGCGCGCCAATCTCCATTTATCCGTGCCTTTAGCTCGTCAAAGTCAATCTGTTCAATGAAATTAACGTTAATTCTTTTCAACGCCTTGAAATCGGTTAGAAATCGAAGAATTTCATCGATGGAGAATCGGCCGCTCCAAATTTCGATGTCCACCAGCGACGGCATTACATCAGCCAGTTTTGGTTGGAATTGGCCGTTCTTCGGTGATGCAAACAGGATCGTCAATTTCTTAATCGTTGGATGGTTTTTCACGAATTTATCAAACTCAACTCCCAAATTCACAATTAACTCCAATCGAAAGGATTCAAGTTTTTCAAATGAAAATGGGATCATCGGCAATGGTTCGTCAAGTAACCCTTGCAAATGAATATGAAAATAACTCACGTTTTTCAAATGAATCACATTTCCGTCGAAATTCGATCCACTAAAATACGTTCCGTGCATCGTAAACGATTGAAGATTTTGCAATCTCTCTCTTGCACCGTCCAACACGACAGCCGCCACAAGCGGTGGATTTAAAAATCGTTGGATGCCCGGTGAACTAATGCGCAACGTTTTCAACTGTGGATTCAAAGACAAAACGGTTGTCATCTCACATTTCGATTTGATCGACTCACGACGTTGCCATATTTCAACGCTCAAATGCTCCAAATTTGGAAAATGATGCACAAGGCATGAGGCGTTCACTAAACCGACACAGTTCAGCTCACGCATACTCGGAAACAGCTTAACGAGGTCAGTATTTTCTGGTAGCTCACAATGTTTGATCACAACTTTTTCTACTCTTTTGAATGGCTTCTTGAGGTGGGTGGATACATTTTCTAAACGTTCTTGGAATGTGATTGAGGTCAAAGACTCCGAACAATATTCATTTACATAGCTTAAAATGTGATGCGTCAAATCTGGGTACACTCTTTTGCCAAATCGATACGCATCGCCACGAGAATAGAACACTATCTCTGGAATTAATCCACCGAAACAACGTATGGTTTGCAAACTAGTTTTTAAGTCTTCAATTTGAACGAAATCATTTTGAACTTGAAGCGAACGGTATTGACTGTGACGTGCCTCTATCAGAATGACTTTTTTATGGCGATGCCTTCGAAAATACATTGAAGTGGCGACATTTCTTAAGCACTTATTGACGTCGGCGATGTTTAACAAATTGACCAAATCCAAATATCCTACAATTGTCTCCAGACAATCATTGCTTATATCTGTGAATCTCATTTTTGATCTAATGATGGAAAAAAAATGGAAAAGAAAATTTTGAGTTAGAAGAAAAGAAGGAAAAATGGTGATTAGGTTGGAAAACGTTTATATTCAAAGGATACTATTTCTTGAAGAAAATTTTCAATCGAGATTCAAGTCACAAAAATGAATATTTTCCACTTTTTCAATCCGTTTTAGTCGGATTTGAAGATAAATGCTGTTTTTTATGAACGATTTGTTTGGAACAGAGGAAAATTTCACCGTTATTTCAGCAAATCATTACTCTTTTGTTTACAATAGGTTATTTCGTCAAAGTCAATTGATTTGTATTTGATTTTAATCGAGAAACAAGTGAGAATCCGTGAAAAGTCGTCAATCACGGTCAATCAAAAGAGATCGACAATAAGTTATTGCCAATAACGAATCGGCTTATAATTTTTGCACTAAAATCAAGTTATCAAAACATTAAAAAACATTTCTAAGGCCAAACCAACGAAGAACCTCAGCAATTGAAACACAACTAATGCCGATGTGAGGCGTTTTGTTCAGTTACCGAATGAATTGTGAAAATTCCAAAAGAAAAGATGCATGTGATGGTTCGACAGAAAGAGATGCACTATTCAACAGTGTTAAATCGACACATATGCACACGAAGAGGTGGAGTAATATTTCACCTATATTTTTTTTTCATGCAGACAGAATTCATCAACAAAGAGGAGGTGCTTTAATTAGACTACTTAGAAATTTGTGTTTTGTTCAGTCAAAGTTGAATTCGAATTGATCAGTTCTACGAAACCGACGGTATTGACCTGTTATGAGCAACAATGTTTCACATTCTTTTTGTCCAATCGTTCCGTTTCTTCAAAAGAACTACACAGTACACAAAATATACGCAAAAAATATTCATAAGGAAACAAAGCACCTATTGTCTATCTAAGCAAGGAGTTATTAGATAAATTCAGTACGTCGAATTTCTGCAACTTAAATATGTGCTATTATCGGATTTACTTTAACTTTCCATTTCTTCCCAAGCAACACGATTCGCATTTGAAGGCAAAACAAAATATTGGCAACTTTAGTCAACAAATGGTATAGTTTTGCTGATACCTGTCGTAGTGAAACATACCTGATTTATGACACGAGATATGATTATTAGAAGCTTACGAAAGTATCGGTAGAAGAATAAGTACGAAGGGTATAAGGGTATGTAGCGTTTCGAATGCATGCAATGAAACCATTCGATTGATCCATTGTGGACGAACATTATACATATGAGTAAAATGCAATCGCTTATAGAAGCCACGATCGTAGAGTTCGTCTAAAATACCGAAGATTAATGTTTCTCCTTCAGTATAACCCAAAGCAATGTTCAACTTGTCTAATTTTACGTCACATCAAAAAACACATCACTTGTTTCTGCATGAACTGATTCACAAACATTGTTTTTTCAAGCAAAATGAAATTTATGTCGCTTAGCTCAATAAAAAACGATACTTTTTATTTAAAATGAACCAAGTTTTATTTATTTCTTTAAAATTAATCATTTTTCCTTTACAAAAAACCTGCAATTTCTCTGCATCAAAAGAAAAAAAAATCTTTTTCGATTAAAATTAAATAGAAAATCATTTTGATTAACTGAATAAAAATACAACTTCTTCCTAATATCATTTTATGTTTTAAAATCAATGAGTTCGATGAATAGAGCAACAGTTTCTAAGCGGTTTATGAAGTTCATATTATGAACAAAGTATTTTTTCTTCGATTCAATTTGAGAAAATATTAAAATACACCTACATTTCCTAGGGAATGGCAAATGATAAAAATGTTTAATTCGGAACATTGGATTCCTTGGAGTCGAGATACCATTCAATCTTTGAATACATCGATTCATGGCGTTTGATTTCGATCAAACGGTAATTTACACTGCTCGCAAACTTTGTTTCCAGAAATATTTCTTCAGGCACATAAATGGTCACTTTGCACGCTCCGGCCAATTTTTCCCGTTCCTTGTTCAGTGCCGACAGATCAAGAATGTTCTGGTTCAAAAAAGGTCCTTCGGATAAGTAGACCAAACGGATTTCCGTCAATTTTTTCGAGCAACGAATAAACGGTAGCGCCGGTTCAACGGTGGTGTTCGGTAAATGGATCTGTTGCAGATTTGGCAGCTTCGATGGGAGTGTGGTAAAGTCAATGCCATCAAAATCGTCAATCCAAATTTTTTTCAGGCTCTGCATGACTGGCCAAACAATTTCATTCTCTAGTTCGATATCAAGAGCTTCAAATGAACGCAGCGTCGTCATTGCATCGATTGTGTCTTGACTAACACCGGAAGCTAGTTGAGTCAAATGTAGACGTTTGTAAAAACCACGATCGTACAGCTGGTTCAATAGCGGACAGATTAATTTTAAGTCTCCTTCATCTTCGTTGTCGGTGAAATCAACGATCAATTTGTCGAGTTTCACATTGTAGCCCAGAAATGCGTCTCTATTTTCCAGAAGAAAGCGCCAGTTCAATTCAATCGTACGAATATGGGGTATTTGATCGAAAAATCGTTCCATTCCCACGATGTGCATATCAATCCCGGTCAATTTGATAAACTCAAGCTTCGGACATTTGTTGAGTTCAAACAGCCAATGATCATCGTTGCTGTAGCCAACCTCAACAAGAAGACGCTTCAAATTTGGACACAAATCGAGGAATCGCTCGTTGAGTCTGTCACCGGTGATTTGTATGCTTTCGATTCTAGACAGAATCTCACTCTTTTCTATCGCTTCAACATCAAATGTCATGAAACTGATTTCTTTCAATGACTTGCACTTTGCTCCAATTTTCTCCAATTCAACCATATCCATTGCACGCGAATAACAGTTGATGTGTTCTACGAACTCGGTGAAACCATCCAATTGAGTGGAACAGTAATAGATGCAGTTGAATTTGTCAAAGATGTGAGCGCATGGATAGTTCTGGCGGAAATACATGCCGGCGATTCGATGCATGCGTTTGCACGTTTGACCAAATGCGTGAAGATCTTTGATCGACAACCACTCGAATAGTTCTTCGCAACAGTCAACGTCGAGCTTGAAGATTTCGCTCTGATTTCCTTGGGCCGCTGGAACAGCAACGAGCAGTTGGTCATTGTTTGGTTTGGCATCGTCACTCGGGAATTTGCTCGTGGCTTCAATTTTGGCTTTTTTACTCGCTGGATCAGCACTCATTTCGGATACGGGCCACTTCGGCTTGTTCAATACGTCGCTTGTTTGATGTTACTCTCTTTCTGTGGACACCTAAACGAAAATGCCAATAAAAATGGTTAATGTCGTTGTTTTGTTGTGAATTGGTTTTGATTTTGATTTTTTTTCACAAGCATTAGTACTTTTGAACTGGAAAATGAAATCATTTGAACCATCGAACTATTTAATCACACTCAATCTCATCAGCTGAAATGAGTTTATACACCAAATTCGACGAATCACTAAGTTTTTTTCTAGACTTTTTTCCACTCTATTTACACTGTCCAAACATGCACAGTGCACACACAATATTGCGTGACTTAATAGCTAAACGATTTATTTCCATTTGACTTTGCCGAAGAAACCAAAACTAATGCGCTGTTTAATCAACTTAAAATAGCGATCACAAAATGATTACAAGTTTTTTTTTCTCAATTTGGTCGTGAATTGACAAAAAAAAAACGCCAACAATGACAAACTAATATCCTACCTTCGACTGCTGTGTTTCTTCTTCTACAAAAATCCAATTGAATATGCACAAATCGGACACTGACACTTGTTTTTGTTGGTCCAAATTTTGATGAATTTCGTGGTTTAGTTTTTGAAATAGAATTATATTTGAAATTTTTACAATTTGTTTTGTTCAACTTTATACAAATGCGATTGATAATAGTGTGTGCCGGTTGAGGAATTTCATGTACCTTTTGTCATTCGGCCGTTTTGAGAAACGTCACTGTCTCAACCCTTCCGAGAACCTTAGACTGTGTGTCAAATTTGAAATTCAGTTTTGTGTACTTGGATGATTTTTTGCATGATTTTATTATTAATACGCTTTAACGGCTTTCAAAATTAAATGAAAGACTTTTGAAAATCTTCAGCAGCATTCTATTCATCAGTTTAAACTTTGTTTCATGAGAAAAATAAATCTAGAAACAAAAGTATTTTCTTTGTAGATTGGCCATAGAAATTGAAACTAAGTCAGTACTTTTTCCTATGTTTTCAATTGAAATCATTTCATTTTTCCTAAAGTTGGCACGGATTTGCCTTTTTAATTTTTAATAATTGTTTTTTTATACTTTTAAATATTAAATTGTTTAATTGAAATAAAAAAAAAAGCAATAATCATCAATAACATTCATTTCAACAGCTCTAACTGTCATTCCATTCTGTTATGAAATGACATTCACACTGGAAGTCAATTGTTCCACTCATTCCATGCGACGGAATGACAGCTAGAAACCTGGAGATGAACATTGAACATTGATAATTGGTTTAGTAGAGAAAACGCCGTCAATTTACTCGAAGGAAAATTCAAACAATTATTTAAATTGAAAGATTCATCTGGAATAGTTATTTTTATTGACGATTGAACGGAACAATTTGATGACAACGTTTTTGTTTTGATTTGATGGTAAATATGGCTTTTGTTTTGACTAAAATAATAATTTCATAAGATCTGATGAAATGATGAAATTTATTCTCGGATTAAGCAATAGTGAGGATCAGTTCCGTATCATATTAAAGCAAACGATCAAATGAATTGAACAAAGCATTAAAAATAGTTGTTGAAAATGTATATTCTTATTTCTTATATCTAAAAATATTCTTATTTTTTTTACCGATGTGCAGTGAATGGTTTGCGTTAAAAAATTTCTTTTATTTAAATTGCATTTATCCGAAATTTTTGTATTGAATCTGAATACAGACTGCACATCAGTGGACACTGGACATACACAGTAGAGACGCAAACATAGATATACACAAAGTAACACGTTTGAACATGTACGGGACATCATTCGTCAAGTTGCATATAAAGCCGTCTCTTTTGTGTGTGGACTGCCGCGTGTAGCGTATTCAGAATCAAAATAAAAATATCGGATAAATTCAATTTAAATAAACAATTTTAACATAAACCATTCCCTGACGATGTGTGTTGAAGCGAGAGAAGTATATAGCTGCTCTCACTAATGCTGTATTGTACAGTGTACATGACATTTTGCTTCATTTAAAACAAAGATGTTCTCATCTTCATTTTAGAAACTTGAAATATTCCATTCTTTTCTATTAATTTTTGTCACTATTTAAAAAAAATGCGAAAAAAGAATGAAAATAATTTGATATCAAACCAATTGATGATGATTTCTTATTTCCTTGCTTGAATGTTTCACAGAACGTCACATTGAATAGAAGCATTGAAAAGCCGTATCCAACCAAAATGAGTGACAAACCATCCAGTAAAATGTCAAAAACTGAAGCCACGAGTCAAGAGTCAGAAGGCGATGTCAGTGAAAACGATGACCAACTGCCCGTTGCTGTTCCAGCAGCCCAAGAAAATGCGTGCGAAATCTTCAAGCTCGATTTTGACTGCTGCGAAGAATTATTCGAGTGGTTGTCGATCAAAGACCTTCACTCAATGGGTCAAACATGCAAACGGATGCATCGAATCGCTGGCATGTATTTCCAACAGATTTATCGTGGTGCATCGATTAGAAGTGGAACCTGATGGCATTTATTGCGGTTCTATTCGAGTAAATGATTTCAGTGAATTCATAGAAGAAATTGAAATTGAACCCGGAGAAATACGCAAGGACCAATTGGCAAATTACAAATCATTGAAGAAAATTCATTAAACGTCTTTAGTTTCAGTCCCTTCAAAAGAACTCCATTTGATAAGTGATGTTCTGGCCAAGGTCGAGAGCATATTTATTGGCCACCATCATTCTGACGACACCATTCTTGATTTTTGTCCAAATTTGAAGCTACTTGAATTGAATAGGTGGAGCAACACTGACTGGCTATCGAAACTGAACAAGTGTCCGAAGCTCGAACTTATCAGTTTGCCATTGGAGGTGGTGAATATGGAAGAATTGCTCAATAAAATGCCCAATATTCGAACGATAAAAGTAGAGTGGCGAGACCTTTTGCCTAATAAAGATGCACTTTTAAACACCAACGTAAAATTGGATAATTTGATCGTCGAGACTTTTGACGATGATGATGGATCTGTCTGCGCCATTTTAAACGAGCTCTATGATCGTGGCTTCTACAAACGATTGCACTTAATTGATGTGGGTTCTATTCATTTTGCCAATCAACAATTTATTGATCGAATGGCGACGTTGCGTGCACTCGAAACGCTTAAAATCGAATATATGGATGCCGATTTCCCAGTCATGCCGAACGTGAAGAAAATTATATTCAACGATGAGAACGACTTTAATTTTACCACATTTCCATCTAAACTACCAAATTTGCAATGGATTGTTGTTCCCAACGATTCGATTGATGCATGGGAGGCGATTCTACCTTTCATTCGTGGCTCAAAGCAACTATCGAGAATCAATATGGTGGAACGAACTAATGAAGAATACGACGAAAACATTCTCGATCTGCCGACCTTGAACAAGGAACGTGAAAAATTGGCCGGAGCGCGCAAAGTGATCATTTATGTGCCTGAAGAAACGTTTTTAGAAACGAAGTTTGCGCACGGCGCGAGTTACAGTTTGATTGAAATGAAACGCAATGAATCGCTGAAATTGAGATATGATGATTTTTGGTACATCGACTAAGCAGTCCAGAAAGAAATCACTCGTTATTCGTTCCCACTAACATTCACAGTACGCCTATGAATAAAAATAGTATTTAGCGAACGTATTGAGGCAATACAAAAAACCAAATCATTAGTATTTAGCTTCTTACACGAGATATAAATTAGTTTTTTAGTTGAATCGTTCATTAGTAATAATTAAAAAAAAAAAACAAAAGAAAGTACACACAAATGTATGCAACCGATTGTGGTCTGACAATGCATCAATTATGATAACATTTAAGTGATACGATTTCGAATTGTCTGAAACATTTCGTACTAACTGACTTTTAGTTTATATAGAATTAGATTCATAAGAAACAATTACCTATTTCAATACAAATACACGGATAAAATGGGAAATTTCAACATTTTTTGCTAAAGTTTTCAATCCCCAAAATAAACTTGTTTGCCTTTGATGTACAAAAATATATTATGTTTTATTTTCAATATATTTTAATTCCATTGAAATCACCAACAAATTTAAGTTCGACTCTATTAAAACGGAACGAACTCTTTCACTCTGCTGCAAATCATTTCATATTCACGTTGGAATACATTCGTTCCATTGATTCCATGCGATCGAAGTGAGAGCAATGACTGCCTAAATACGTCTTGGTGGGCGATGAACATTGACAAGCGCTTTGGTTTAGTAATAAAAACACCGTCAATCAACTCGGAGGAAAATACGAACAATTTTTGAAGTTGAACAATTCATTTGAGATAGTTATTTTCAGTGGCAATTAGGCGAAAAAATATTTGACGACAACGTTTTTGTTTAAATGGTAAATATGACCTTAGATTCAACTATATCAATAATAATTTAATCAGATCTGTTGAAATGATGTCATTTGTTCTTAAATCGATCAACGATGACTTACCTTATTGGTGAAAGACAATCCCATAACATTATGAGCGAAAGATCGAATAAATTGGTCAACGTTTCATAAATAATTGTTGAAAATGAATCTCATTTGTTGTTTCAATTTATTTTAAATTAAATCAATGTGTGTTGAAACGTGAGGAATATGCTTTCGCTAATTCGTACAGTGTACACTGCGCGTATTGTCCGCGTGGGTGTAAATCTTCACATAGCAACTATAAGAGCACTGACTTACTTAGAATGATTCGCTCTCCGACTAAAATAACATTTAGCTTCATTGAGAACAAAGACTTCCTCGTTACCAGTTTCGAATATTCTTTTCGATTAATTTATGTCACAATTAAACGAAAATGAGAAATCAAATTAAAACAGTTTGATACCAACAATTTGATAATTTTTTCTTCTTTCTTTGCTTGGATGTTTCACAGAACCACCGTCACATTGAATTGGGCCATCGTAAAAGTGTATCCAAAAATGAGTAGTGAATCACACGGTAAAAAAGACAAAGCTGAAGCCACAAGCCAAAAGCCAAATGACGATGCCAAACTAAACGATGACCAACTGCCTATTGCAGCCCCTGTTGCCCAAGAAGATGTGTGCGAAATCTTCAAGCTCGATGTTGACTGCTGCGAAGAATTATTTGAGTGGTTGTCGATCGCAGATCTGCACTCATTCAGCCAAACGTGCAAACGCATGCAACGAATCGCTGGCATGTTCTTCCGACAAAATTATCCAAACGCAAGAATGTCAAGTCGTCCTGATGGCCTTTATGACGGATACGACACTCGAGTGAATGGTTTCGATGAATTTATAGAAGATATAGAGATTGAATTTAATGAAAACAGTTTGAATCAATTAGCTTACATTGCAGCAAATTGCAAATCATTAAGAAAAATTGAATTCTGGTCTCAAGATCCAATCATTTCAGGCAGACTCCGTTTGATAAGCGATGTTTTGGCTAAAGTTAAGAGCTTATTTATTTCTGGTGAGCATCCTGACGACTCCATTCTTGATTTTTGTCCAAATTTGAAGCACCTCATAGTTTGTTGGAAAAATACTGATTGGCTGTTCAAACTTAACAAGTGTCCAAAGCTTGAGCAAATCAGTTTGATGGGGCTTAATGAACAGGTGCTGGTGAATGTGGAAGCGATTTTCACTCAAAAAAGCATTCGTACTGTGGAGATGAATACGGAATTTCTTATGACTAACAAAGATGCACTTGATATCAACGTGAAATTGGATAATTTGATCATTGATTTTTGTGACAATCCAGAAGAAGTTACATCGGTCTGCGCTATTTTGAATAAGCTCCACGAGCGAGGCTTCTACAAGCGATTGCATTTCATTAATATGGATTATGTTGACCAACAATTGATCGACGAAGTGGTTTCATTACGTGCACTTGAAACTCTTGACATCGGCGAAGTAGAAGAAGGTGTCGTTTGGCCAGTCATGCAGAATGTGAAAAAAATTTCGGTGGGCGATTTGAGTGGATTCGATTTAACCACACTCCCATCGAAACTACCAAATTTGCAATGGATTTGTTTACCCAATGATTCTATGGAAGCGATTATGCCTTTCATTGGTGGCTCAAAACAATTATCGAGAATTAAAATGGGGTGTTCAATTAGCAGACGATCATCCAAAAATATTCTCCATCTGTCGGCATTGGCCAAGGAACGTGAAAAATTGATTGGAGCGTGCAAATTGACCATTTATGTTGTAGAAGAAATGTTCCTGAAAACCAAGTTTGCGATTGGCACGAGTCGCAGGTTGATCGAAATCAAACGTTTCGCATCGTTGAAATGGAATGAATCGTATTATTGGTACCTCACTTAAGCAGAAGGAAACAACCCAACAAACTAACCATACTAACACACGATAGCATAATCATAGAAGAAACACACATGAAATCACACCACACCAAATAAGGTAGAAATTTCAATAAAATCCCTGCATAAAATAGAAAATTAAAAAAGTTTCAAAAATAAACTGGTTTGCCTTACAAAAATAATCTTTGGTTTTCTTTTCAATAATAGTTAATTTCATTGAAATCATAAACAAATATTCCTTCAAAAAAATTCATTTCAAATACAAGTTCTACTCTCTCGTCACAGAAAAAACTCCGCTAGATGGCAGTTCAATCGTCGTTCCAATCTGCTACAATTCATTTTATACTCACATTGGAAGCTATTCGTTCCATTCATTCCATGCGACCGAAATGACAGCTGGAAACCGTGGTTCTCTGTGAACATTGACAAGTGCTTTGGTTTAGTAACAAAAACACTGTCAATCTACTCGGATAATAGACCAATTCTCGCCAATAAACACAAACAATTTAAGAGTATAGTATTACATTTGGTGCCTCTTTCTTGTGTTTTTGTTTCGTATGGGTCATCCGAAATAGTGATTTCTAGTGCCGATTAAGTGGAACAACTGGATGACAATGCCTTTGTTTTGATGGTAAATATTGACTTTTTCGATTAGAAATAATTTATTCGCGAAAATCTCATGAATTAATGTGATATGTTTATGAGGTTCAAGCATCCGCCTTAATCACATCGAATTGATAAATGTAAATAAGGCGTAAAATAGTGCGATTTTAATGAGTTAAGGTTGTTTTTACACACAATTGATAAGACTGACAATGAATCGCGGCACAATTTCCTTTTTAATCATAAAATCAATAAAAACAAGCGCGCAAATGCTGTACTTTCCACTCAGTGAACCGGGCACTAAATGGGTCGGTGTAAAATAACAGAACATACATGCTCGTTGAGTTTTGTTATTACATAGGTGGAATGAGTGGAATGGGTAGATTGAAACAATACAGCCGCACAATGCCCTTGAAACTCGAGTTTTTTTTTTTGCGTAATTTGGCAAAATACATACGAAATTCATGCTCAATGCTCAGTGCTCATTGTTGTGAGTAGAGGTGGACAGACACTGACGGCGACATGCAATGTGACAGCTTGAGTTAGAATGAAAGAACGGAACAATTATTGTTGTAGGAAATAAAAATAGAACATAATTTAGGTTGAAAAACGAAAAACGAAAAAAATGAAACGATTTTTATAGAGTAAAACGGAAATTCGCGTATTTTTTCACTAAAAAGTGGGAACAATCGGTGAATTTAGTTATTTAGTAGTTTGATTAGTCAATGAATTGAGGATATCGTTGAAATTACAGGCAACTTATGCGTTTGAGTCTTTTGTATAGCCAAGAATATCCACTTGAAAATCCAAAATTCATGTCGAAAGCACCAAATTCGACGAATACCAAGGAAAAAACACGTTTTTAAAATATTTAAACACGTTCCAAAGGCATTTTTCCACTATGTTTACACGAAAACTCGAATTTTCTAGCGTAAACAAACAATGCTAACCATCGACGGTGCACATTGTCTGAATTCTAATAAAAGTCACTTTGTTTGTTTCAACCGGTCAAAACCAACACTGAAATCGGAATATTGATTCGAAAATTGAAATCTGATTCACGTCAAAGGCTGAAACATGAAGCCCAAACACAAATCACCCGAAACGGAATTTACGTCATTTGCTCAAGCATTTTGATTGGCATTTGCGAACGGTGTTTGCTTGAAATTTCTATGGCATTTCTACAAACAGTGATAAATGATACCATCATTTCCGCTTGTTTCGATATCAAAATTAGATTAAATTTACTTTCCCTTCGGCAAAGCATGTTTCCCACCAGTATGCCGTAGCTCCAACACCACGCGATTATATCATTGTCAATTCATCACATTTACATACCGCGAAGTGTTCAACAAACCATAATAGAGTCTCGCGTGTTTCCATATTTTCCACGTATTTTCTTCCTTTTCTCCGTAGCCAGTGACAAAAAACCGGTCGTCATAAATTTAGGTTAATCATGTCAGGTGTAACGGTAGACGCGTGAGAGACACCACGACACTCCTTGTTTGATTTATTAAAATATTCGGATTATGTCATTTTAGCATGATGATGTGATGGTTGCTTTTTTTTTTATTAAATAAAGTCGTATTTAGAGGGAAAACATTGCGACGACAGCAGCGAAAATTGAGGATTTTAAAGAGGGAAAATTGCGATGAACGTGTTTTTTATGCGAAAGGAAGTTAACATGTTAAGTGATTACGTTGTGGTTTTAAAATGCACAGTGCTTTTGCTATTTAAGTCGAGGGTTTTCACTTCTGATTAGAAATTTGGGTTTATCGATTTTCTTCTTCTTTCATCTTCTTTAAGAGACTTTTTTCAAAAAATTGAATTCAAGAGTGCATTAAAGAGTGTAATTTAGCTCATTCTGCTTTGGATGAACATTGAAAAAAAAAACAATAGTATAAAACTTTGACTTGCTTTGCTTTAAACCGTTTTATATCGCCTCTGAATATAGGATTTGATTGACAGAAAAGTGTAAAATGATTAACATTTTCCACAAATTCTAATCCTTCCTCTTTGATGCCATTTCTTACGTTTCAAATAACTTTTTTCCACTTTCCCCATCCACAGTTGTATGTGCACCGTTTCGGAATAAGTGCAAATAAGACGAAATGGTGAGAGTATTTTCAATTTATCAATTCGATGGCCAGAGCATCCATCGAATTCCGGGCGATATTCGATCGGCGACTCTAATTGATCCAAATCATTTGGCATTGGCCAAATCGGATCATGTCATCGAAATAGTTTCGCTGCAAAATGGCCATTTTGATCAACAAAATCGTGACGATTCTGCCGATGAGAACAACATTCAAACCAAGTATGCATTCCCAACTGTTGACGAAGTGGTCGATATGGTTTACTGCAAAATTGGTAAGTGATGGAATTTTTTTAGCTGACGTTGATAGAAGAAGCATGATGAAAATTCACTTTTGATTGAATCAATCTAAAATGATGCTAAAATACATTGATTAAGTGGATTGATCCAATCCCGACGAGAAATTTGCGGTAAAATTGGTGTACGCCGACATTCCGTCGCATATCCGCGGATACTCGCAATGCGAATAGGAATCCACAATAAAAGTTGCCGCAAAATGTTATCGCTGAATACCCTGCGACTATTCGCGCTGCGAACAACAGTACAGTTCCAACCTGAAGTTGGCTGCGCATGACATTTCAGAGTATTCGCAGGGTACTCGCCAACTATCCGCAATGCGATTATTCGCAAATTTCTTGTCGGGAATGAATTTAGGTGAATGAAAATTATAGAACACTGGCTGAAAGAGAAAAAAAAACAGCAACAAAAAGAATCAAAGAAGCTATAGCGAAGTCAGAAGCTGCATGACGTACAATGCTTAAAACTACCCCATGTCATTCATTAATGAATTAATCCATTTTTATTCTCCCCTAAATCAAGGTAACTTCATCGCGACAGTAGAACGAAAGTCATCCAATTCTGGCGTTGAACACTCATTTTGTCGTGTTTACACGAACTGGGCAAATTGCAACAGTGCAACCAGCGACAGCACAGATAATATCAATTTGATGACATGCAACGTTACAATACGTGCACGAATCGCCGGTCGCGTGACACCGTCAACCAACAATGTGAACTGTTTGGAAGTGATTGAAATTCCAACTATCGGTAATGCCATTAAAAATGCACATATAATTATCTGATCGAAACACCTACAGTTTAGAGTTTGATTCTAAAAATAACATTTGTTGCTCAATTATTTCTGTAAAATACAGAACGAAACCGAATTAGTGTAGAGAAAAGTTCAAATTTTCAGAAAACTGTGAGAATTGTTCGAAAATAAGATTCTAATCCAATTTTTCATTTCATTCCAGTTCGTAGCTGTGCTCAAAGCCAAGGCAATCAGCCATACAAGATAGCGGTGTGCCAACGCACTGGAACCATAATCTGTGCAAAGGATCGATTTCTGAAATTCTACAAGTTTGACGAGTGTATTAATGAAAACACCCATTTCAAATACATCGACTTTTTGGAAGTGCCATTCGAAGTGGAACTGGATTTTGTGCCGACACAATTGAGTATCAATGAGCACATCGTTGGCTGTGCAAACTCAGAGTACATGTGTGTATTCAAAATTTCGGAGCAGAGCTATTTCAACACGGCAAATAGTTTGACCACATCATCGAGCCTGAGTGTAATGGCGGCCATGCCCATTTGCTCGTATGTGGAAAATCCAAACGATTCGATTCTCGACTATCAGAGCGTGTCAAAGAAGTTTTTGTCATCGATCACATCGAATATTTCATCAACGTTTGACTATCAGTCGATTGACAGTAACAGTGACAAAGGCAGATTTTGCAGAGACAGAAGCATCGAACTGAAACCAAACTATGTCGACACTGGCATTCCAATGTGCAATTTGAGACATTTTGCGGCTGCAAATGATGAAGTAAGTAAAGTGTGGTGTGGAATTTTGAGTAGCATTTCCAAATAATTCATTTTTTAAGAGAACTATTCACCACATGTCGTTTTCTTTTTTTAAAGGTGTACAAAGACTACATGATCCGAATCCTAGTTCAAGTAAAACAACACGATGCAAATGATCCATTTCAATGCCTGGTTTTATCACCGATTTACAGCCGCAGACAACGTGAATTGGACACATCCAATGTGTTTCGATCGCACAATGGCAGCGCATTTGTCGGTATTTCCGTGCTACTTGCAACGGTTAACGAAGGATATTTGTATCAATTCAGCAATAATGGTAGGCGGTTACAATGGTTTTGTTCTCGGAAAAAGATCTTTTCGGCAATTTTTTAAACTTTTTGTGTTCTTTTTCATTTTCCCAACAGTTTTTTTACCATTTTTTTTTTGTTAATTTTCCAAATTTTTTATCAATTGTTCTTGTGTTTCCATTCAATTTAATTATTTTTGCAATTTTTTCCCGCAGAAAAATGGACTTTAAACGAAAGTGATATGCAAACCAATGGTTTGATAGCAACGTACTCATTTACGTCGCCCATCATAAATGTTTGTGTAACTGATTATGTGATTCATGCGCTGACTGACCACGGAATCGAAACGTATACACATTGTATCGGGCATAAGCTGTTCAACAACATCTATGAGTACAGCCTGAGTGAGGATTTGTATAATGCAGAGGTATGGCATCATTTTGAAATTGAACGGTCGATGAAGTAAATTCGAACTTTTGATTTATGAATTTTAGAATTTTTCCACAAAAGTTTCGAATTTCACAAAAATCTACCTTGAACCAAACTCAAGAATCCGATTGCAGCAATTTGACTAATAACTTCTCTTCTTCCCTACCTTTTGTAGACATCACCCCGTGTCGAAGAGCAAATCTGTTTAATCGGCTTGCGGCCATTTCTGGGTGTTCAGCGAATGTTCCACACGCCAGAAAATTTGATTCTACTGGCACGAAGCTCGAATTCACCGCCAAATGAAATCAAATTCAAGACAAAATCAAAAGAGAGGAATCAAAATGCATCGGAGTCAACGTCAAGTTGGACACTGTACAGTCTGAAAATGTCACCAGCCGACGTGCTTTATAGGGATTTCATTGAATTGGCTGCAAATCACAAGACTGGCTTAACCGAATTGATAACCAGCCAAAATTCCGACAAAGTGCGGATTTACTCGCTGCTATTGAGCGAAGGACATGTGATTCTACGAATTGCTAAAGAGATTTATACCGGTGAATCGAACGATTTTTCGACAAGCCATTTCAAGCGGATTGACAGCTTATTTCTTGACTCATGCCATCAATTGGCGGATTTTTATGTGATGTGAGTTTTAGGTTTTTTTGCGTTTTAAAATTATTGAAAGCATTTTCACGAAAAAGAGTTTTTTGTACCAGTTCAAACCGAATTCATTTGCAATAGTGAAAAAGTTGATAGACTCTCATTGGAGCATACTAATTGATCAAAATCCATATTACAGGTCACAAAATCGAGATCAGTATTGTTTAGCGTATCCATACTATATAATGGGCAATTTGAAGATTGATCAAGTGTTTAGTCGCATTTTAGCGCTTATCGGAGACATTCCACAGGATTCAAAGTCGATGGTTGGAGCTGTTCATACTTTGAAGACTATGATTATCAAATCGACCGAAGGAAACGAAGAAGTGACTAAACGATTGACATCGACCCTCAATTCGAGCACAAATCATTCGTTCGGAGAGAAATTGTTGGAATTTTTCGCAAAATACGCACCTAACGAAATTGCAGCAATCGGATTGAATTCGACCAATTTTCGTGATGCTATGAGCGCCAAGATGTGCGATACAATTTTAAAAACGAAGGGCAGCGATCAATTGTAAGATATTTTGGCATTTTTTTAATTGATCTTTTAAACATTTTTTATTAAGTTTATTCATTTTCCTATTTTTTCAATCATTTTCTGTAAAATTCCAACCATATCTCCCAATTTACCCTTTCACTTCAGATCCAAAGAGGACAAATTGATACTAATCCTGGATACGATTCGTTGCAATCGAAAAGATCAAGCGATGCAATGGTTGGAAAGCATCAATGCAATTGATTTGCACCGTTTACTCGTGTCGAATTGGTCGACTCTCTTTGAAACGACCAAAGTAAAGCGAACCGGAAAGTCGATCACAACCTTTTCCGAGCTAACGGAATCGTATCTGTTGCCGGCGAGTATCACAAGCCATGCGATTCGAAGTGCTTTACTGGCAACATTTCGAAATTTATTGATCGACACGAATGTTCTGAACATTGAGCTGATTTTGAAGTTGTTTATGGAATTTCTTGCGTCGAATTTTGGCCAGATCAGTTTGTACATGAGCGTACAGTCGGTTTTGGAAAATTTGTTGGAAGCATATTTCCACCGTTTATACGTAGTCAGAAGATACAGTGATACTTTGAGCAGTGCCAGCCATGATGTGCACACTAAAAATGGAGTCGATCTTCAATCAAAGTCTGGCAATAACAACGACAGCCTTGGCAGCACTTCCAGTGAAAATGTCACAGCTTCGATTGGATATAACAGTACGAACAGCGGACAGAAGATGAACGATTCAATTCAATCCGAACACAAAGGATCATCCACATTGAATACCAATGGCATGAATGATTCTGGAAGAAAACACCCGTTTTGTGCGTCATTCAATGTTGAAGCACTGAAAATTTTAACCCGCATCTATTTGAGCTCATTGAAAGCGCACACCGTGGAATTTGAGATTAAGACTAAAGAAAAGTCAATGTATGTGAAGTATGTGAAATTTTTGCGCGAGAATTTCAATCGGCTTTATGCACATCACATATCACAAAACACAAACTATGATGGTAAGAGCTCGACCATTGACGAGACAAAATATTGTGCAGACTCGAGCAACGACACCAAAAACGAACAACACGATATTCAATTAACGAAAATCCCAATTTTGTTCTTACTACAACGACCATCGTACTTGAACACGATGCCACCGATCGGTGATTCTAATGCAGAGGAAAACGGAACGAATGCAAAGGACAGCGGGTTTGATAAGAGCGAAAAAGGACGCAAAGCCATCGGAGTTGTTTTGAAGTTGCAGGTGATTTTTTCTTGCAACTTTTTCAATCGATTTTAAATTGTATTCTCTTTTTCAATTTTCTTTTCTTTTTCAGTCATTGCTTTCCAGCGGCATACTAACACGAGACATTCTGCAAGAAGTGTTGCACTTTATCGAGTCAAACGTTCCATTCTTTGCCGTTGACAGTTTTCTCACTCTGTTGATGCCATTCGAAATGTGCATCGACTATCTCATCGAGATGCGGCCCGAGTATCTGTTGGAGTACGCAAAGTGTGCTAGTACCGACGAACAGAAATGGCAATACGTTCTCACGCACATCACAATGCAATTTGATCGAATCGCAAAAAATCGCTCACAATCGTTCTATGAAACTTTGTTGAAAGGTAGGCTCGAATCGCGGGAAAAAAGCGAAAAAAAGGAAAAATTATTTGGAGCAATTTTCAAAAAGATTTTATTTCGATACTATTTAAAAAAAAAAAAAATTCTGTTTTAAATTTCATATTTTCTGACCATTTGGAATTTTTTCGAAAAAAAAATTCAATTTTTGTCATTTGTTCTTCAAATGTTCACACTTTAGATCACTTGGATTATCTAGTGCACACAAAACGATTGCCAGAAATACTCAACATTGTTCCGATGAAGTGTTCTAACGAGGGCGATCTTCAGATGATGTCCAAGGCAGAAGTAGAAACTGACAATGGCAGCAATGGTAATGGCAAATTTGTTAAATTTTATTTCGAATATTCTATAAAAAAAATCCGTTTTATTCTGAGAGACGATGAATAGAGAAAACCAATTTTCACTTTGGGATACAATTGTTGATGAAATTAAAAGATCTAAAATATGAATTTCTCGCCGTGAACTTTTTTTCGTTCCATGCAATAAATATCTGCGAAAATTACCTGACAAAAAAGACTGAAAAAAATTGCATACAAAAAAAGTACGGAAAAAATTCTCTTTGCAGAAAAAAAAATTTGGAAAAAAAAATCTTTGCCATCAAAGCTTTATCAATTACCATTACAAACATTTTATTTATTTTCGAAACGAATCATTTGCACATAAAAAAAAGTCTGATTTCAATTTTCGTTTTTTTTTCACAGGCGACACAGTGACCGACCCAGCATTCCCTGAGAACAACAACAATGCGATATTCACCGATTTCTTAAAGTTGGCCATCAACACCGATCGCTCGGAGCGACTAAACGAAATGATAAAAACGACTGGATTCCAGCTGTACAACACGTTCATTGGTGGACACCATCCCGACGCCGCCAAATCTGCAGCTGAGAATTAGTTCTCGACCGCTTTTGTGCTTTGTGTGTTTACTTAAACTGTTAATCATTCCTTTGGATAAATTTTAGTGAATTTTTTCTAGTTTTTGCTCTAGCCAAGCACGTTCGTTTTGTTAACGATTCTTTAAAAGTATTAACGATGAATATCATACGTATTTATTTGTTAAGATATCTAGTCAATTGTATGAGGAGCACTTTACTCCATTCGATTAGGAAAATTCACATGTAGAAGCATTTTCACTCGAGTTTTTCAGCAATAAAATGATATATAGTATCTATTAAATGGTTAACACTTGCCAGCTTGGTTGTATTGGTTCAATTGAATAACAACTTATTTTGCAGATATGCTAAGACATCTATGTCTTATTAAGGAAACAAAATTATCTCAGATTGAGGAAGCCGCATAAAGGAGAAAAAAAATTATTTTCGTGAACTCAATCGTCATAACGATTGTCATCAACTGAACCGGTTTTAACGTTATTGCGCACATTATTGTTTGTATCAATTCGTTTTTTTTTTTTTTTGGAGCATGAGCTATTTATACATTTAATACATCTTTTTTTATTATTTTGTTCTTTTTCTTCTTATTTTTCAGCTTCCATGTGGATTCATGACGTGATGACGTAAATCAGTAACTTAATTCGAGTTACGCAAATTTATTGTGACGACTTTTTATCAAAAATGGCACCATCAATTCAACAATGTATTCCAAAAATTAAAAAAATCGGCATGTTTCGTATGAATATATGCGTTGGATATATTTATCGCTCGTTGGCTTGATAAAAAATTTAATTATTCGAGAGAATAAGAAGCTAAATTAGACGCTTTGGCCCTTATCACTTCAGTTGAAATAACATTATCGCAATCAAGTGTGAGTCATTCCATTGAAATAAGGGAATTCCGGCATCTGATTGAAGAATTGAAGTTCCCGGTACTTGCCTATGCTTTATCTTTGTGCAAGAAAAAGTACCGCTATCTAGACCGCTATCTTTATAATTTGTGAAGTTTGATTATCCCTGATTCAGAAATACCAAGATTATTCCCAACCTGAACAAATCGATTAACAACGTCGCTATAACATAGTCTATCGTAAATGGGGATAAATCATACATTTATAGCGACGTTGGGATAAATTTCATCCCATTTCATCACCAACATCAACACCAATCAAATCTATTGTTCATCTCCATTTGCGACGACGTTTAACGGTGTGACCTTGATGGCTCTGAAAAAAAAAAAGAATTTCAAAGTGTGTTTCGTTGTTGTTCTATTTCTAACAGATTATTTGATGAATCCTCAAGCCTCAAAAATTCGAACCAATGACGATTCGAAGTAAATTATCCTGTAACTCAACACTGGGAATTTTGTAGTGACGTTTGATATTGTAAATATTGATAACAAAACATTTACGTCAGAGAAAACTTCTTGTGAGGTCGTTGAATATGGTCACCCGTTCAAACATTCGATGAAGTCGATGCACTGCTTTTGGCTGTACATGTTTTGAGTAAATTGAAAAACGAGTGACAAGGTAGTGTCTAAAAACATTATTTGCAATTATACATCTCCATTTCAATTTGTTCATGAAATCATTTTATTTTCGTTTGTTGTTTTCTTTGTCCTTCTAAGAGCCAAAACCATTTTGTACATTAAAATTTAAAATTCACCCAACAACAATGTCCAGACACATGACTTAAATAACACACTTAATTCTACAAGATAAAATTGATATTCCGACTGGTTTTCGTTGCGGTCAAAACACTCTCCAATTGCTTTGATGTACTCAAACCGTAGACGTCGAGCGGCACACGAGCCATGGCAGCCATTCTGGAATTAATTTCAAATTAGACTCTTTTTTTTCATTTTTTTTTCATAATTTTTTTTCTCCAATAAATAGATTCAATTTTGAATGTTGATCAATTTTAAATTGATATTTCAAAAAACAAAAAAATTAATAAGATTTAATAAAGTTTTAATTCAATTTAAACATTAAGTTCTGAGAAAATCATCATTCCTTTTGGAATTAAAATTTTTTTATTTCGATTCGAAATAAAATCATTTTTGACTCATTTTGTAGGAGAATAAAAAAAAATTAAAAAAAATGCACTTTACCTTCCGCCAGAGAGCGAATGCAGGAATTTCCAGTAGCTTGATCGTAGGTTCATCGGTTCGATGGTTGCTGCATGGAAAAGAGTCGCTGTACTGGCACTGTACAATAAGAATGTGAAATGCGGAATTTTGGGCAGGTAACCAGCATCGATGCCAATGTTGTACGATATCTGAAATTGCCATTAGAAAACGGTTATAAGGAGCTAAAATTTGTTGTTATTTTTGTTGATCATAATAAGATTTTTTTTTTATAATTTTTCATACAATTTTTTAGCTAATTAATAGTTTTCTTGTCGGAATTTTCGCCACTTGAGATTTTTTGTTTTCAGATTTTTTAAAATGTCATCTAAAAATTATGAACAACAATATTTTTTTTTGTGTTGAAAAAAAGAGATTCGGAAAAAATGCAAACAAAAAGTCAAGAATCCAGTTCATTCACACACGATTCTGTTCAATATATACCTGAAGTGCTTTCCAAAAGACGTACAAGGCAACGGTTGTGTCAGGGTAACTAGCAAATGCAATGCTGGACAAAAAGGCTGCAGGAACTGCATGCAATGGGTCATCTTTTCCAGTTATGTGTCGGAATGAACATGAACTCAACTGAAATAATGGAAATAAATGAAATAAAATTGAAAATCCATCACATTTCGTATGAATTGGGATTAGTCTTGATTGCATATTGATTTTCAAATTTTATACAGGAATTCTGTGGCAGGATCAAATTCAATTGAATCAATTTAAAATGATGATTCGATAAAATCAAAATTTTATCGATGAAGCTAAATAGTCCATTCAATCAAATAAGAATCGTTAAGACGTGAAAAGTGTCTTCATCAGTGGCTCCACATGAGTTGCACAACCTAAGCCATTTCGAAACTAACCCGGAATAGTGCAGCAAATCCGCCCAGAAATGTGCCCAGTTTTAATGTGTTTGAACTTCGGAAAATCGACTTGAGTTGCTCTCGCCACGGTAGCTTTGAAGTCATTTTCAATCGGATCAAGATCAATGTCATCTGCAAAATATTCAAAAAGATTTAATTGGTTGTTTCAAGCATTTTGAACTTTTGATTCAAGCTCTTTTGAGTTTTTTTTTTTGTCATTTTTTTTCTTCAAAAGAATTTTATTTTTTTCGATTTTGAACCCTTTTTACCTGAAGACCGACTCCGATAGTGAAAAGTTTCGTGCCACCGGACACAACGTAATGCAGGCAACTGTTCCGTGGATGCGGGCATGTTTTGTGTCGTGGTAATCTGTATTTGAAATAGTCCATGAGTTGCGTGTAATATCGAACAGCCTGCAAGATCACGGGTAAAAAAGGATTTTTCGATGGTGGTCGAGTGTGTGACGATGATTGCGCTGGGTCGCGTTGACCAGTCAACAAAGCGGCCGATGATTGTCGTTCTCGTCGTCGCGATAAAAATTGCGGCTGCAACTGTAAGGCTGGCACATACTCTTCGTAGCGTCCAACAACAAACCTCAAAATGTCATAAATTGAGTCTTTGTTCGCGTGTGCGGCATTTGTTTGAATTGTAGGCGCAATGCCTTGATGCAGCCCACATCGGAAATAATACAACAACAGTGACATGCTTGCACCAAAGATCAACACCTGTCCATACGGAATGGGTCGACAATAGCCACGTGCACAAGCCATATTGAACAACGTCTCGGTGGCCACGTTTGATACGTACAAACACAATAGACCACGGCGTGATGGACGCTCCAACAACAAAGCACACATACTTGACATGAACGATGGCACAAATGATACCGTATAAAAATTGAACGAGCCGATGCAAGAGCGCAGCAAACACAAGAAAAACGAATATGAAAAAGCACTTGTGGTCAAGAATGCAGTCGATTGCAGTATGCCCAACAACATTCGCTTCAGATCGTTCAGCGTTGGCACGCGACATCGCATCAATAGACTCAGCTACACGATGGTGTGTTGATGGAGAATGAGTCGAAAAGAACCGGAAACGGAAGAAAGGATTAGTTTGAGTGTGAAAAATGGTTTATGATCAGCAAAAAATCTATTTCTTTTGGCAAAAAAATAATCTCTTAAAACATTCAATTTTCTGGTAGAGTTTTTAATTTCAGAATTTTTCCATTTTTTCGAGATTTTTTTTCTTTTTCAAAATTTGTTCCCTTATTCTTACCGTGTACACCGCCGAATATATTCGAAAACTCTCTTGTGCGGCTTGCAGCAAAAGGCCGGCAGTGGCAACGGAGCAATGTTCTGTCCATGGATGCACGTATTCCATGCATGTGGCCGATATCGGCGTCAATTTACTCTGAACCGCACTCATAGCACTATTTTTCCAGCGGTTTCTAATACAAGTCGTTGAATAATTTTGATATCACGTTCAACGGCCCAAAGACACGGTCGCTTTTCGAGGGAGGGATGGCTTTTTACAAGGAAATTGAAACTAATTTGAGGATTTAGCACCAATCACTCACTACGGGATCTGAAAAAAAAAAACAGATTTAGTGTTTGGTGAATAATTGAATTTTTCAACTTAAAAAAATACTTTTCAGAGTATAAGAACAAGACGTTCACAGTGAGAGAGTTTCACTATGGAAATGAGCCATCGGACGAAAATTGATATTTTTCGTAAAATCAACTCAAAGCGGATTTGAGTGCAATTGTGACCGAGGGGCTTTTTTGTCATCACAATTCTTTACTGATTCGCACAAATTCATGGAAATTGATTTGCGAATCCTTCAACAGAAAGCACATCGTATTCATATCAATTCTACGAATCAACGCGAATCGGTCGATTTTTTTTTCTCGAAGAAACAGTGATGCGCAAACTCATATGAAAGACTCGCACTCGCATGACACATAAAACCCTCGAAATTGAGACCATAAACCCAAACTGACACCGTACTTCCATAGAAATAATTCCATTCGAATCTTGAATTAATTTGAAAATGATTCAAAAAAATTTCACTTATTCTAAAATCCATTCAATTCAGCGTTCAATATCCAATCACTTTAATTTACAGTTCAAAAATTGAATTTCATAATGACTTGATTCCGTTTGATTTTGTTCAATTGATACCATTTTCATCGTCGAATTTCATTTCCATTTGTTTTAGCTATTAAATCAATATTAATTAATGAATTGATATTAAATTGTTTTTGCGAATTTGTTGACAGTTTGTTGTTTGTTTAGAAACCAAAGTCCTCCATCCCCAATCTGTTGATTAGCGAATACTTTTTATTTGGTGCAAACACAAAAAGTGTTGCCTAATCAACCAAAAAAAAAGTTCGTTTCAATTAGTTAATCCATTCATTTAAATTAGTTCACTGTTTTTCATATAAAGAGAAAGTAAGAAAAAGTACTTTTTTTCCCTGGAAAAATAAACGTTTTTTTACTTCGCGCAACAAGGTCTTCGAGTCCTTTGATTTTCGTTAATTTCTTCTTGAACATAAAAAAAAAACATTCAAACTGTAGCAATACTCTTGCATTGAGCTAAAGCCGATTATTTGTAGCACTAAAACAGTTCTGGTCGATTCTTTCTGGAACTAATGTTCAATGCTATAAAATTGCCGCTGTTTTCAAGCTGTAATTTCCAATGAATAACCAATTTGCACGCATTTACACAGAGCGTGTAATGCACACCGTGTATATTTCATTAGCAGAATTCACGCAAGAACAACACCTCGGAAAAAGTGATATTAAGTCATTACATTCGAGCCTATTGATGCTTAAAAAAAGTCGCTAATCAATAATGAAATCGAATATCAACACACGACATTTGTTACAAACGTGTATCGCTTTCATGTTTACAGTCATTCCAGCCACTTGTTCGTCGTTTGCGGCAGAACATTTTTTTTGTATTAAAGTCTATTTTTAGCGGCCTGCTGTGTTCAAAGGCAAAAGTCTCACAGTAATTTGAATCGAAGACGTGTACTTCAATCCAACACACTGGTTTCGGTTTCAATCTGGTTCAAAATCAATTAATTTTATTTCGAATTAAAATATTTCCATCGAATATGCAGCCGTACACCAATCGGTTATCAATTGAATCTCTGTTTCATTCCATTTAATTACACATGTTTTGTGAATGCACAAAAAAAAACGCGGTATGACATTCAGTACACGTTCGCACTGAAATGTGCGTAGAATTGACGGTTTCGCATTCATAAATCGCTATAATTGATAAGAGTGAGACTGTTATGACACATAATTGTCCATTTCACTGCGTTAATTTTCGACGATATGTTTCCCTTTTGTTCTAATCTCAGCGGCAAAAGTCAAAGTTGAAAATGTTGTTCTGATCAAAAAATCTCCACTATTTCATTCATGTCTTAAATTGCGTTGTTAGTTTCTTTCATGAAGTAAATTGATCGGATGATCATGAAGCAGACCAGTTCACGTAAACCATTTGAAAAGCGACACAGAACGCACGGCACATTGTGTGTTCAAAGTGTTCCGACACCGTAATTGCGCATACAATTTGAATGGATAATTCATGCAAAACAATTGCACGGGCCTCTTTGAGGTCAATCTATTCCCACTATTTTTTTCTTTTTTTTTTTGCTTTGATGTGTTTCATTCATTTCATTGTTTCTTTTGAACTCTTCTGTAATTCATCAAGTGTCCGCACACACACTCAATCACTCACTAAAATCGATTTTACTCACCAAATTGCTTCTATTTATTCTGTAGCACCAGTTTTGATATCAGACTAGAAATCAAAATCAAACTTCAACACGATTTCATCGTGTAAATAACAAAAACATTATGACGTTTGACTAACAAAAACAATAGCCGACGAGAAATATTCTGACTCGTCGTTCACACCAGTCTGTCTCTCTGTGTGTGTGTTTTTTTGACGTTCTCTGGAATTTTTGTGTTCTATTAATCACTTCGTCTGTCACTAATGTCAAAGACAAAATGCGAGAGGTTATAGCAGCTTAAAGCGGTTCTGTGTGGAATGTGAGCTGAAATGACAGAAGATGGCGCCAGTGAAGATGACCGTAACTTGGATTTGAGTTTCATCCAGAGACAAAGAGGAATTTTGTTGGGTTTTGCTAAAAAAAAAAAATTATCACGAAGAACGAATCAAAGTTGAATGCAAAATAAACTATCAACCGTTCAATATCAAAAAAACGCATTTAATTGATTTTTTTTTTTTTCACATTTTTATGAATATATTTTCAGATTTTCTACAGTTGTGAATATAAATTTACCGTGGAGGTCTGCGTCTGTCATTTCGCACGATTCAATGCGTTTAATTTCAATCAAATTTTGATTGGCGTATAGATTTTTTGGTGACATTTTTGTGGCCAAATAAACGTTTTTTTCAGCATAAATGATAACTTTGCTTGTGCCAGCCACATTTTTACGTGCTTCGTTCAATGTCGATAGATCAATATCGTATCCATTCTCTGCTGTACTAAAATAATGAATATAGAGAGAATTTAGTCTTGGTAGTCGGCGAATAAATGGTAACAGATGATCTGTTGTTGCTCTGAATAAATGAACATGACGTAAATTTGGAAATGAGACTGTTAGAGCTTCTAAACCAACGTATTTTGTGTGCATATAATAAAAACTGGTAAGATATATCGCGTCTACATTGATAATGGGTGGTTCAAGTACATTCACTGTGGAACGTCTAAACAATTGTTCAATTGTTGACCACTTGATTCGATTAATTTCAGTTTCTAAAGTTTCCGGTGTTATAGCGAAGGTACACATCCTATTTGTAAACTCTAATCGTTTAAAAAGACCATTTTCATGGAGCTTATGTAACAAAGGGCAAACTTGATCTAGATTAGAGAAGCAATCGTAATGAATATTTAAAACATTCAATTTCAGGTTGGAAGATGAATCGATGAATGTGTCACTGTTTGCCATAAGAAACTCAAAATCTGTTTCGATACTTTCAAGATGCGAATTTTGCTGGAAAAATATTCCGAGATTTGCTTTCAAATGTTTATTACATTTTTTCAACCGCAAATGTTCAAGCTTCGGATATTTATGACACATCCATTCATTTTGATCCATTGTTCGATCTTCGTCAACGCAAAGTCGCTTTAAATTTGGACAAAATTTCAAGAAATCTTCGAATGAATGAAATTTTGTCGCAATTCTGTGCAAATGAATCGATTCGATTTTGTTCAACTTTGGTTTGATGCAATCGATCAATGCTTTAGTCAACGTAATCATATGAAATGAAATTTGGCGGAGTGAATCACAATTATCTGCGATGTACTGGAAGTCTTCTTCTCTGTTTCTGTACGATAATTGAATGCTCTGAACGTATTGAATGAATCCGTTTAAATTCATTCTGTCGTGTAGAATCGTTTGATCGATGCAGCGTAGCGTCTGTTTGAAGCTCTCTCGGAAATAGAGACCGGTAAGGCGATGCATTCGTTTGCATGTTTGGCCAAGTGAATGCAGATCTTCAATCTCTAGCCACTCAAATAGATCGTCGCAGCAAATGGCATTCAGCTTGAAAATGGCCGGTGGCGACTCTTTTTGTTGACTATCTACTCCAGCAGCAATTTCATTTGGATAGATGTTGTTTAGCTTCTGATGCTTGGTAACATCGTTTATTTCACCATCATTTTCACGCTTGTTCATCTTGATTGTCACTGCATTTGATTTAGCTTTCACTCCTGTTCACTCCAGCATTCACTTGTCTCTTGAATTTATCTGAAGAAAAAAAATCGTGTATTTTAATGGTGAGTTGAATCTAAACAGAATACACCGTATGCTGCCGCTGTGCCGCTCACACACTTCAGCATATTGTGCGTTATATGGTATGAGAGCAGTAAACCAGCAGCCGATTAGTGCATATTTTAGTGCATTAGCATATATATTAAAGCGACAAACTAGTCTCAATTTCGTTTTTTTGGGATTTGCATCAACACAAAGTTTAAGAAAAGCACAGATTTCATTGTCTCTTTTCATTGAACCATGCTATGACGCATCAAGTGTCATTATATACAAACGAAATCGATTTTACTTACCAATCTCTGCTTTTTATTTTGTAGCAACAAAGTTAATATAGAACTTTGTATCTAGATAAACTGATCGACAATTGTTTGAGTAAATAATAATAAATTCTGGATTTTGTCTGGCAAAAAACAGCAGCAGAAGAGAAATAGTTTGGATCGTCGCCAACACGAGTCCTTCTTTTTTGATGCTCTGAAATGTTTGCGTTTTCTTTACAATCAGCTGTCAATGTCAATGATAAACTGTGAAAGTGTTTATGCTCAATCTGGAATGTGTGTGGAACTGCCGAAAGGCGTCGCCACTGAAATGACCGCCACTTTTGATTCGATTTAGAGAAAAAGGGGAATTCGATGTGTATTGTTCAAAACCATCAAGAATAAATTTTTGGCCAAGAAAAAACTTACGTCGGTTATGTTTATCCAAGGATGCAAAATAAACTATCATCTGTTCAATGTCAAATGATGCATTTAATCATATTTTTCTCATTTTTATTGTTCATTCGACCATTTTCATGTGGAAATTTGTTAAAATGTTCGTCATTAGAATGTTTGAGCATTCTTTTCAAAAATTACTTTTGTCACAGAGCTGCCATAAAATGTCCAAATCTTCTTATTTTCTTGGATTTTCCAACATTAGTTAAGTTTTTGAAATGAAAACGTTTAGAATTAGTCGAAATCAGAAAGTGCGTTTTCAGTTGAACTTTTCATTGAAGTCTCTTCTAGTCCAATTGTTTATAAACCCCTGAATTTATCGTGAATGTCTGCGCCTCCCATATCACACGATTCAATGCGTTTGATTTCAATCAAATCGTGATTGGCGTACAGGTTTTTTATTGCCATTTTTGTTTTCAAATAAACGTTTTCTCCAGCATAAACGGTTTCTTTGCATGCGCCATCCAACTTCTTACGTTCTTCGTTCAATTTTGATAGATCGATTGGAAATCCATTTATTGCTCTAAACCGGCGAACACATAGTGAATTCAGTTTTGGTAGTCGGCGAATGAACGGGAGCAGTTCAGCATTCGATGCTCCGAATAAATGAACTCGATGTAGATTTGAGAATGGAGCTATTATAGCATCTAAATCAACGTACTTTAAACCTCTATGATTCGAAATATACATCTCTTCTAAATTGATCGTTGAAGGTTGAAGTGCATCTAATTCGGAACGGTTAAGTAATATATATTACGCAAATAACGGAGTTGTCGTTTTCGGCAGAAGATTTGATAAAATTGCAAACGGATCGGCTAAAACAATTGAAGCAAATTGAAACCAACTATGGAAAGTGTGCAACAAATAAAAAACACCGGCTTATTTTGTGCATCGTCTCAATCAACTCGATGAATTAACAGCTGAATTTCGAGCTTCACATAAAGTCATAGTGTGCAATCGATACGGATGAGAGTTATTTCAAAGACGATGTTTCGGTGGATTTTGAAGAGTTTTATTTCGATGTGTATTGTGCGTTAGTTACCGACCGTGACACACGGTATCCGCCGGCTACGAGTTCAACATCGAGTTCAAATAGCGGTCAAATGAATGTCACATCGGCAGCAATGCCAAGCCAACCAATATCAACGGTACATTTTCCCGACATTCTAAATCCAAAGTTTTCGGGTGTTACAGCTGATTGGCCTGAATTTCAAGATACATTCAGTCGAATCGTCAAACACACAACACATACTTGCCGTCGGCTCAATTTTTTACTCATTCAATCGCTCTGTTGTGCAATCGCAAAATGTTTCTGTATTTGCATACAATGTGAAACGCATTCAATTTCACTACATTTCAATTTATTTATTTATTATATTTTCAATTTGAGAGAAATTCATTAAATTAAGTGTTAAAGAAAAGAAACAATCGGGTCTTTTTTTTATGAAGTCCAAAACTATAGTTTACCTAAAACATATTGGACATATGATTAGGGTGCGTCGTACATTCGAATTATTTTTCGGTGAATGGAATTCATTTTAAAAATGTTTCATTTACATTTTTCTCTGTCTCTTTGTAGAAATTTTCACGTAAAATAAACGAAAAACAAATGAAATGAATAAATAAGCCTAATAAATAATTGACTATTTGCATTGAATTAACGAACGAACTTTTTATTTCAATATAAGACAGTGACCCTAACTGATTCGCCAGTCAACAAACACAAGCACATGACAGGTGACAGCTGGAAACTTCAAATCAGTTTGACAACACGTGCTGTTTTTTTTTTGTTGAATCGACACGGTGGTGCGTTTTCTTAGTAGTAAATGAGATTTATTTTCGGAAAAAAATGAGCAATTTAATTGAAGTAGCTGTGACAAGTGATGCAAATGGTTCGTTATGGAGCTGCTGTGCATGGGATCCACAGGCTGGAACGCAATTATGTACTTACAAAGGTAACAAAAGAAAAAATCATTCAAATTCATACCAACTTTCAATTTATTGACTGTGACGATGTGAATATTTCAGGTGGTGAAGCAACAACGCCGCATGGATTTTCGTTCATCAATCAAGAATTCATCATAACAGCCAACAATTCAAAGCCGTTGTTACACATTTGGCCGGTGAATAGCCAAGAACAAGTGCCGAATTTGCGATTTGTTGTTCCGGGCAAAGTGACAGCACTTGCCATTTCATCCGATGGTGTCTATTGCGTAGCGGCTGTCAGTGAAATCATCTACATTTGGAAAATCAGTTCGGGTGATATGCTGGCGATGCTGTCACGGCATTATCAAACGGTATCATCGCTTGCATTCACCGATGATGGGTCACATTTCATCAGTGCTGGTCAAGATGGAATGATGCTCGTCTGGAAATTGAGCAGCATTTTAACCGCAACTGGGTACAACAATCAGGAAACAACTCCATTGTATTCATTCTCCGACCATACACTTTCAATCACCGATATCTTTATTGGCAAAGGTGGTATGCGTGCCTTAGCTGCATCTGTTTCACTGGACCGTACATGCCGAATTTATGATTTAGCCTCCGGCACAATTTTGTTGAATTTAGTGTTTCCCGAGGCGCTTACATCGATTACAATTGACAATTTAGATACGAAAGTTTACATTGGATCAATCGAAGGAAACATTTTTGAATTCAATCTGCAAACACCGCCACGCACAAGAGAATACCATTTGAATCACGAAACATTGACAACAAAGCAACGTTTCATCGGTCACAAGGGCGCTGTCACAACATTATCGATTTCATTGGATGGTGAAACATTGCTTTCGGGCGGTAACGATGAAACCGTGCACTTTTGGCACATTCCAAGCAAACAAATCATCCGAACCATACCACATAAAGGTACAATTACTAATGCCAAATTCGTGCTGGCACCAAAGGCTATGTTCGATCAAGAGACAAAACTCCATTTAATTGCAAACAATTTCAAACGCATGATTGACAATCAATCATTGAACACGGAAAATTTCACGGTCGAAATTTTGGTTTCGCATCCAGTCGATTCGAGTATTGAAGCGGAAATTGTGAATGAAACTGTTGGAGTTGCCGGAGATGGTGTTGTGACGTCAAAGGGAAGAGAAATTTTGAATGGAACAAGTGGAGCCGATCTGAATGAAGTAGAACAACTTCGAGCCGAAGTCAGACGACTGAAGAAAATCAACAAAGACTTATTCGAACATTCGGTTAAATCAGTTTTTCAAAATGGAAAATGAGTCAACGCAAACATTTTGTACACTTTCCTATGGCTAAAAAGTGTTTGAAAAAAACTTCAAATTATATAAATAGAAACATGATTATTGAGAATCTAAGAGTTTGAATAAAAAAAAAGACTTTGAACCAATTTATGGGATATTTCATTTCAAAATACTGTTTCACATGGACAATGTGTGGAGATGGAACGCACTCTGTTGACTGTCAAGTACAACATAACCTCAAATGTCATACGTACGTTCTTTTCATTTGTTTTGACTTTTTTTCACTTCTTCTAGTCTATTCAAAGCGAATTTCAAAATAAAACGCAATTATTACCAAAGTTTAAATAAAAAATTGCGTCCTTTCTCAGCTAAAATTCCAAGTGGATACGAAGAATGTAAGTATTCATCTGCATTGAGTATTTGAAATAATTTTCGTTGCAAATACTTAGAATCGACAATGAAAAAGACTTGATTTAGTGGAAGATTAATTGTATTGAAAATTCCAAAATAAGTGAACTTCTTTTGAAGTGTATCGAAAACAATGACTTTATTCACAAATTCGCACTTGAACGATTGACTTGATCATGGACAAAGAAAGATGGATTTTGAACATGAAAACTTGAGTCTTTGTGATTAAAATGCAAGTTCGAAACCAATAGTACAATTCAATGAAAGTCAATGAGTGTCTGTTAGTTGAGCTGCGTATACTTGTCACTCAAATGTGTGGTTGACTTTCTTTAATCAGTTGCAATTTTGACATGAATCCAAGTTTTTGGGAAGCTATTTTTGTTTTTTAATTTCAAGGCGCCTTTGCCACAATTTTATCAAAGAAAAAAAGTGATTTCAATTAATAATGTAGATTTTTATTTTATTTCCATAGTATCACAATGAACCGTCTAAATCATCGTGTTCGTCAATTGCCCGCAAAATATTCTCATTTGGTGAAACAAGCCAGTACAAGTGCAGCTGCATCGGAAGCAACAGCAACGAAAACACAACGATTACGAGCATCACCGTTAATCGATGAAATAATTCGTATTAATCATGCCGGTGAATTGGGTGCCGATCGAATTTATGCCGGACAACACGCAGTCCTAGGTAAAACATCGATCGGTCCAATTTTGAAACATATGTGGGAGCAGGAGAAGAAGCATCGAAGTGAATTTGAACGATTAATCCGAGAATATCGCGTTCGACCGACGGTAATGACACCTATTTGGAATGTAGCCGGCTATGTATTGGGAACTGGAACTGCATTACTCGGAGAGAAAGCAGCCATGGCATGCACAGTGGCCGTAGAAACTGTCATTGTTGAACATTACAATGATCAATTACGACAAATCATGGAAAGTCCAAATGTTGATAAGGTATACAAAATATAAGGAGGCACTTTCTTTTTCTTTTTTTATTCCTTCAAAGTACCCTCTTATTCATCTGTTTATTTACATTCGAATATTTTTTTTTTTTCATTTTTTCTGCAGGATATTTTGGCCACGATAACGAAATTTCGCGATGAAGAGCAGGAACATCATGACACTGGCATTGATCACGGGGCCGAACAAGCGCCGTTCTACAAAGCAATGACCGAAGTCATAAAATTAGGCTGTAAAACAGCAATTGCCATTTCAAAGAGGATTTAGTTGAATATAAATTTGTTTCTATGAATTACCTAAGAGCTAAGACAATTATCTAAATCGGAATTTTTTTTGTAAACCATTTAATTGAAGAATTCGCAATGAAAATTTATTTGGTGGTGAAAAGAGGAAACCAATGATTTATTTTTACCCCGTTTAAAAACGTAAAATCTTATCGCTGACCAAATTTGTCATGGAACAATGTATATACATGGGTTCGAATGTCTAATTGTAAAAATTAGTCACCGTCGAAGTGCTGAAACTGAGATCAATGTTGGAATGATCAATTTGGAATGTTGAGCTGGCAAACGGCGCCACCACTGAAATGACCAAAAACAAATGTTCGGCCAAGATAAAATTGCAATTCCAATTGTATAGCCACAGCAACGGCACTTCCACTTGGTTCGCCTTCATTTAGTTTTGGTTGCTTTGATTTCTTGTTGATTTTACCTACCTTTTACCGCTTACCCATATTTATTGCCGCTGATTTAAATATTTTCGGATTGCGCCAAAACTTGACGGACTCTGCCAAGGAAGAAAGATGAAACTTAAATTTTAAAAGTATTCACCAGAATATTGTACAACCTTTTCAATTTAAGTAAATGCCAAGCATTTGTGACTTAAACTTTAACCAATCATAAAGCTTTTGCCACAAAGTTCATTCAACAAAGTG